CACACACACACACACACACACACACACACGAGGCATTCGACACTCTAACACAAGTTGATTTGAGTTTGAAATTTGCATAATAATGCAAAGCTATAACGACATATTTTCATACGCATATAAAATGCACACATAGTTGGTGAAATTGTCTTCAAATTATTTTTCATGACAATTTTTGATTAAGCAGGAAGGCAAAATTGTTGGTTTGATAATATTTGGGCTTTTTTAATTAATATATTATTATTATTATTATAAATAAAAATCTTTTAATAATTTAATGCATCCTTGGTGAATAAAACTAGTTTTTATATATTTATTTATTTATTAGATTAGTTTATTAGATTTTTTTTTTAAACAACACGTCTCATTTATATTAGGCTCATTATAGATTGGGCCTTATTGACAGAACTCAGCACTATTTGCCTGTGTGCTATTACTGTGAGGCGGTAAACAGAATTATAGTGTGTAAAATAGATATTTGTGTACAGCAGTAATTTACCAAATGGCACGTCGTGAACATGAGATGAAGTCTAGAGCACATTGAGGCGATCGTGTCTGAATGATGCTCTAGGCTCAGTAAAGTATGACAGATTGTGGCAAGCTGGAGAGTTGTGTCACGCAAATAGTGTTCAGTGTTTGCATGTTTGTGCTCTTAACTGATTCCCTTCATTACTTCAGGAGGGAAAACAATGCAGAATGCTGTTCATCTGAGCTGTCACGTGGAGTCTGTTTTGGCGTCTGTCTATTTAAGCCCTCAGTTTCCAGTGTTTGTCTGGTATTGTTTATGTTAACGTGCTTCTGTGAGTCTGTGCTTCTCTTAATACAGGGTGTGCTGGATGTTCTTGAGTTGCTCCTGAGCAACATAGGCAGGGTCAGAGATGAACTTTCCATTAAAGGGCAGTGTCTGCCCTCTGGAATTGATTTCCTGAGGGACTTTTCACCTTTGTAAGGGCAATTTTTATAAATACCATATTGAATGCGTGTTGTTGTTTTTATGTCAAATACTTACATTTAATCAATCATAGTTCTATATACTGTTACCAATCACATTTTCTTCAACATCAACAAAAGCCTTCTTTACAATGCAAAAGCTGCATCTTAAATGCATTTATGTTTATTCACACAGACTGTTTAGTGCTGTTCATGTGCACATATTTACACATAAAATTACATAATGTAGCCTATAAATGGAAAAGAAAGCAACTCAATAGAGGGTGAATCTGCAGTATCATGAAATAATGTCGATTAATAATAAAAAGTTTTTCATGGGGAAAAAGGACATCATATTCTGGCTACAGAAAAAACGATTGCTTAGGCTAAGAATAATTTCTGAATATATTTATTGCTTTTTTTACGGATTAGAAATCAAGACTTCACACTGGTTATTTCAGTAGCATGGAAAACAAAACCGTTTGAGACTGTGAATAGATTATGTTAAAAAAGCGAGCAAAGAACATTGAATCGTTCCGTGACTTCAGTCTAATGTAAGTTAATTTTCACAAAACTCCCATTATAATCACTGAAGCTGCTAAATCAGTCTCTTACTTACATCTTTTCTGCATTTTGTCGTTTATGATGATGAGGGAATTGAACAGCGTTCTCCATGGCAACGGATCAAAACATTGCATTGGTCGTTGCATTCATAAGCTCGACAGAAGCGTGTGTGATTGGTTATAATACTCAAGACTGCAAACTGCGTGTAGAAAGAACTCATCATGCAGCATGAGCAGATCTACTGTAAATGCAGTGCCACAATCGACTCGTTTCATTCACTTTGATCGTGACAGCCGTAACAGAACTAGCTTAATTCCTGACCCTGGCTGTGGAAGTGATTTTATTGTTCATACACTTGTTCTCTTGTCTGTGTTTCTCAGGAGGAGCTCCAGACATCCCAGAGGATAAAGTGTTTGAACGACGGGGGATACGAACTGCAAAAGTGAGTAGTGTGTGTGAAGGACCAAATCTGACAAACTCCAGGGTTGGGATCCATTTGATGGATATTTATTGAGTAAAAAAAGCAAAGTACAAGGCGAAATCAAGTGAAAGTAAAACAATTCAAATTCACAAACACAATCCAGACCGATCTAAATAAACAATAGTATGCAAAGGAAGAAAAACGTGACACTATAGAAGAAGCTGGCAAGAAAATGGAGCTTCTATTATGAACATGAACATTACTTTCATCTCAGCACTGATGTGAGAGCTCCCTCTAGGGGCTGCAAATGTCACAAATGTAACAGATATTGTTCTCGTTGACCCTTTCATTCATCTCAAAGGGCCGTTTTCATCATTTCACGTATCACAAACCTGTTTTCTAACAGTTTATCCCGGAAGCTTAATCCTATAGTGCTGGTCCAGTTGGGATGACAGGCGGGATGCATTATGATTAACTAGTCAACAATATAATCGTTATCATTAGCATTAGTAGCAAGCATTTCAGTAACCAGTGCATGAATCTTGCAGCAGCAGAGCAGAAGTGTTACAAACACATTTAGCACAGATAGACAGAAGCTGTGAATTAATAGTCAAAAAGACAAAAGAGCAAAATAATTTCATTCTAGTATGATTATAACTAATATTCAGGAGTTGGCATGTGAATTCAGTATGAATAGAGGTGAGGGTGAACATATTTGACTGGCTGGCTGTAATGTAAAGCTGGAACTCAAGACTCCAGGCTAGTGTTGTGATTGGTTGGATGAAATCAGCATGCTTCTCCCGAACTCCATTTGTGTAACACACATGTATATATATAAATGTGACCCTGGAGCACAAAAGCAGTGTTAAGTCGCTGGGGTATATTTGTAGCAATAGCCAACAATACATTGTATGGGTCAAAATTATACATTTTTCTTTAATGCCAAAAATCATTAGGATATCTGCATGTGTTCCTGTGAGAGTGAAAAATATGGGTTTCCACCATCTGTTGATTTGACTGTGAAGTAAACAACATTCATTTCAAATGTGAAAGAAGTTGTTAGTATCTTAAAGTCTATATTAATAGTAGAATGTGCTTGTGTTGTGTGGATGTGTTTGTTTCAGCCATCAGACGGCGACAGACGTGGAGAATAACATCACAGTGAACACACATCCGCTGGAGACCACAGCACTGATGTGAGTGTGTCATCAGTATCATCATATTTACACTGTAGATATCACATTGCCACGAGTGATTATCAATATCACATCGTCATGCATAATATACTGTTATTGCAATAGCAAGTACATGTTACAAGCCCTCTGTAAAATGAAGTGTTAGCAAATAAAGCATAAGCTAACTCAATGTTGCTCATGTTAACCGTCAGCATCCAGCATGACTGGCGAGACTTCCTGCAGACACAGGATATCCTGGAGAAGAGAAGCCCCTCCCCTCCCTCTCTGTCCTCAGACAAGATGAGCACGTCCATCAGCATGACCACCCTATCAGATGGCAGCACCCCTGTAAGCCCCGCCCTCTTTCCTCTTCTGCAGGCTGATGGTGTAGATGCAGGAGTTTGAGGTGTTTGTGTGTCCATCAGATGTGCACTTCAGAATCTGGCCGGAAGTAATTCCTGGTACTCTCCATCTACTGTTTTATGAATACTGTGATATTGGACATGCTACTGTTCACATATGGTTTTTGGCCTACTATATAGTATGCAAGTGTGTGATTTTGGATGCAGCCTAGGTCTGTCCAGTCGAAGGAAGTAGATGCAGCTTGATAATGGATGAATATTTACTCATGGAAATCTTAAAGAATCAGCACAAACTACCATTTTTAATAGTAAATGTCAGAGAGAGGGTAGAAAATGCTCAGAAACTAAACTTTGGGTGGAAGAAACCTTAACTAACATTAGTGGACAAAATAGTATGTATGCATGTATGTATTTATTTATTGTAAATGTATTGTATCTGGCCAAAAGCATACTTGAGTAAAAGTAAAACAACTTTAAATTTTACTTGAGTATTAAAAAAGTACAAGTGCTCCAAATAAATAAATAAAGGAGATTCTTATTTTAGCATGTTGAACCATCTTCTCAGTGCAAAGTGAAACTGCTTAAAATTAAACTGCATAACATGTTTTGTCAGACAGACATGCAGAGGTTTGGTTAAAGTGAGAAACAAAACAAAACACAATTGTACAAGTCATTTAGTGCAACAATAACAATTAAAATGCAGCAAAGTGGAACACAAAAAATTCAGCCCTTAAAGGGATACACCATCCTTTACACCCTCGTGCCATGCCATATGTTTATGAGTTTTAGGGGAAAAATCATCTCTCTGCATATAATGCAAGTGTGCAGGCCGTCTAAAGATAATGCTTGAAAAACTACACAATTACACTGTGAAGACGACGGTAACCCAGACAACACCTATCGATGAATCAATGTCTTCTTAAGCGAAATGATAGGCGTGTGTAAGAAAACATACAAATACTAATATTTTAAACTTTACCGTTGTGTTCACTTTGTGTGGTTTCTGAAGCGGTCCTGTACACTTGCATTATATGCACACACTTAAATTAATCTGAAGAAAGAAAGTCATAAACATCTGGGATGGCATGAGGGTGAGTAAATCATGAGAGAGTTTTCATTTTTGGATGGACTATCCCTTTAAAGAGCCAGATGTGAAGCAGAGGCCACAGAGAATTAAAACATACTTCTTGTGTTGTCAATTCAACACCCCTGTCTGTAACAATAATTCATCTTTTAATTGTTAATTTGGTGCATTTAGATTTTTTTCTCAGTAAATACTGATATAAAATTATTTGCGACTAATTAGATTAATTAATGAACAAAGCATGTAATTATTTAGATTAAAAAAATAATTAATTGACAGTCCTAACTGTTACTCAATATAGCATTATGGATGCACTCCATAAAAAGAGCATCACTACACATGATGTACAATTACATCATTACGATTTGTTATATTTTATTTTAAAAAAGGAGTCATTCCCACCACAACATGAATTATCAAATCTGATAATTGAAACTCTGTAATATATTGGCTGAATGCAAATAAAATCAGTGATGATAATTTAAATAGCAAAAATGTAATGAGTACTTTTCAAGTTGAAATAAAATTGTGAGGAGTAAAAAGTACTGTTTTTAAAAGTAAAAGTACAAGTAGTGAGTTTAAATTGTACTTGAATAAAGTACAGATACCCCAAAATAATACTTAAGTACAGTAATCAAGTAAAATTACTCAAGTATTTTACACCCCTGGAGATGTGAGTCTAAGTTGGGCTAATGTAAAGTTGTAATGATTCCACTAGAGGTCAGTATGGGGCTATAACTCCCATAATGCCAATCTTCCCATCATCATCATCATCATCATCATCATCACTTATCTCAAGTCCATGAACATACTGCTGGGAGTCTGCAAAAAAAAAAAAAAATCTATGTTTTAAAATGTATTTCTAAATGTGGTTAATTTGTTTTATAGTAACATCCTCTTGTTTAACCACGTTAAACGTAAATGTCTCCCTGTCGGTAGAGCATAGTGAATCCACTACATGTTTAAGGATGTAAACATTGGCTAGTTAATATCTTTATGTCACAAAGAAAATTACTGTGTCTCACTCAGTCTATTTCTCACGTGGTATAATTGTATTCTGTTGTCCTAGTGTTAAAGCAGCAGACGAGAACAGATAAAGGCACCTCTGTCTCTTTCTCTTGCTCAGTCTTTTCATTTCATGACACTCACATTAAATATTTAGAGACTGTAGAATGCATCAGAATGAGGCCTTGCGTGTCTTTGCAGCAGCAGTATGTGTCCGTGGCCCACCGTGAAGCGTATCGATCTGATCTCGCTCTCATTGGTCACTGGTGTGTGGTTGGGGACGTGGCCGATATTAAAGGTTGATTGATATGATTATGACCGGGGCTCTTTTCATTAGAGCCATGAGCGTGATTGTCTGTTCAGAGCCGCTGGGAATAAAACAACCATTACTGATTCATCACGCATCCTGCAGCGCAGAGGAAGACGAGGAGAGACAGATGTCCTCAGGACAGAAAGATACGCTGTGCATGACTGATCAGAGTTCGTGATCATTAATTATTGGAAAGCAATTATGATGCAGTGCGTTCATTTGGTGTAATGACATCATTTCAACCCAATAACTCAGTGTGAGGTGAAAACAAAGCATCTCAGTGTATGGGTGTGGTCCGGCAGAAGCACACTGAAACACTTCAGATATGGATTTTGTATGACTTAGCTCTGTTGAGCACAAACAGACGTGGTCAGGATTACCTTTTTGCATGGAAACAGCACTGCTACTGTAAAATGTGCATGCTAATTTATAATGGCAACTGTAATAGCTTTTTGTTTATTGTGCAATACAACAGTATGAATCACAGTTGGCAGTTTTTAAAGAAAGGATCAGATTTGGTGGGAGGAGTTACAGGACATTAGTTTTAGCCACTGAATTAGACCATCCACATGCCCTCCCTCCAAAACATCACCTTACTACAGACATAAACTAACAACAGAGAGTGTTCAAGATTGGCTAAAAAGATTGGGATGTTTACACAGAGACCGATGTGATCACTCACCATACATTTATCTGTATGATATCTGTCAGTTACTAGTGACATTAGTTGTGCCATTCACCAAAAAAAATAAAATAAAACTAATAGTTAAGGGGTGCTGTTAAACAACCTCACCACTCCAATTTCAGTATGAGATCCTAAATTGTATAGAGGTGTCCCTCACAGCTATCCAAATTAATGAATATTATTGAGATGTAATTATCATAAATACCAAGTTCTGTCATGAAACTCTAGATAGCGCAGGCTGATGGGTCCTTAACGTAACTGATGATATTCTTAAGGACTTGCCACAAGCTGATTGGTTACCATTGCATACGCAGCCAATGAGCTTGCTGCTTTACATTTATGTGGCTTTACATTCTAATGGCTGATTAGCATTCGATTGAGCTTTGCAGCGTGCTTTCAGAGTTCCTCTGAAACCCTCCACCTTCCCCAGCTCCACCTGTATAGATCTGCTACGGGTTATTTTATATGTTATTTGTGCAGCAGCAGAATGTCTTAAATACTCACAGCACCATATCAGCTTATGTTTTGGCAGTAGCAAGTTCCTGTACTTGCTTGCAGCAGCAGCAATAAACTACAAATACAGCAATAACCAACAGCAGCAGCAATTCAGCAGCAGCGTAGCAGATCTATTCCGCCGAGACCAAATACATTAACATTGTCATATCCATTACTATGCTAAAATCTTCCAAGAGTTCTCATGATAGACCTAAAGAATAATCTTTTTATTCCAGGTTGATTGTAATCATTCACAATTGGGTTGCGAGTACAAATTCCCCCTTCAAAACAATAAAAAAAAAATAAAGGAAAAATATGAAGAGTTCATTTGCATTTTTATTATTTTTTCAGAAATCACTTTTTTTTTCTACTGCGCATTCCAAGTAATATCAATCAAACTGCAGTTGGGTTGTTTTGATTAAGTAATAATAACTTAAACAAATACAGGTAATTTACTAAATTAAAGTTCATTGAAAGTATGTTTTTTTTTACATATTAAACGTTTGTTTTATAGCAAAAGCAGATAACTCCAACAGTCGTTTTTTGGCAAAAGCAGATAACTCCACATTTCATGTTTTAGAGTAAAAAAAAAAACACTCGTTTAATCTTTGCAATCTCATCAGATGACAATGTAGATGCCTGACAAACGTTGTTGTTGTTGTGATCATAAACTGTATGGATGTGATTACACGCAATACACGGAGCTTTTCCCTCACCATTGTAACGCGTTGCTTTTGCAAGCTTCCGTGAAAACGTTTCAGCTTTTATTTTCCTTTTTCGCCCTGAAGAAGATATCACAGGTTCATCAAGTTCGTCGAAATGATCCATCCTCGATCACTTTTAGTCAGCTTTGACGAAACTCCTCTCAGCTAACACGTCTTTTCAAAGTGAAAGTAGCCTTGTCACCTGACCTGAATACAGCGCGCTGATTCGCTGAAATGGATTTATCGGCTTCTGTTCAAAAACAACAAGGCGCTTGTCGGCTTCTGCAGGAAAACGTGAACTCACGATGCCTTGAAAGTGGACAAAACCGGCTTTTTTGACAAAACGTGTTTAGGGTTCAGATTGCGCTATATGTGGAGAATAATGCATGCCGATCAGCTCTTTTTTTTTTTTAAAGTGGCGTTTATCGGTGTTTGCAAATGAACTCTTCATATGTTTAAAAAAAACACAAAGGTTCACACTAAACCCAGATCAAAACTTTACAAAAACACCAGTATAAAGCATATAAGCTTATCAATCGTACTCCATTTCCCAGCCACATCTAAAGGGTAAGAGTACAATTATTTTTCCCACAGTTACACCAAGCCAGCCTACTATGATTGTAAATTGGCATTAAACAAAAGAAGAAAGATGTAATATGACACGCTTCTTCTTAGCATCTGTTTCCATGGTGACTCTTGGAAT